TTAAAACCTAACCGCTGGTTGTTGGCAATTATGGTTCACTGTCAATTACAAGTAACCCTACTCTTATTTTTCTCTGTTCGATGTACCTATGCGGATTGCGTATTCCGGCCGCGACGAACTGGTTCTCTAGGCTCGTCCCGATATTACTTCCGCTTGAAAAATTGGGGAGAAGAGTTTATTTTCCCTGTCCCTTATCGTGGCTCCGATCCGTCCACTGACGAATTGGAAATCGGCGACTCGCTGATTATAGGCCGTTGGAAGGATGCGCGTGAAATGATGATGGGTGGACCGAGGATTTTATATGCTCATCCAGTAGCTATTGGGACAACGATGCATGAAGGAAATCGGCGGAGCTTAACGTGAATTTTGTGTTCACGTTGGGGCTGATAAAACGGTTAATTGATTGAGAGAATCTCTGGTACATTCCGGTTTCTGTGAATCGATCCTTGGATGCTGATGTGAAACCTGTTGTATGGGCGCAACTCGTTGCAATTGAAATGTTACGGGAAATTGTTTTGGAGAATGGATCGAGTTTAACGCTTTGGCTTGTAATATCGTATGAGACTCGTGGTGAAGATTTCAATCGTAATTGAATAAATGTAAGTATTACTCGATTCTTTTGAATTCAAATTAAGTAGTATTTATTTGTTACCAATTATTATACTTTGAACCGAATACAGACATAGGATAAACCTAGATTGTTTCCCTTTTCTCAATGAATTATTAATGGCGAGGTAGTTGCATCGATCATAGTTGAGAAAGAAGCCGTAAAGCAAGGGGTTAATATGGATTATTTTTGCTGATAGATAATACGTAGTTTGCTGCAAAAGTTTCAAGGATCCATTTCTAGCGTTGCCTTTCAGTCGTTTGTTATTTTTATATAGCTTCCCATTTTTAAGTTTAGAAAGTGCTGACCCAACTCAATGGAAAACTTATTAATGTTGAACGAGAATATTTTGATAATCAATGAAACCATTAGTTTAAACTTATTTGTGAGTTTTATTATACTTTCCTGAAACTTCGTAGAAACTCACGTATGAGTCTTTTTAATAAGGAAACGTTTGATGAACACGAATTAGTAAGAGTTAATGTATTATTCATTGCTGAACTTTGGCGATTTTAACATCTCGGTGTGTCCCATTGCAAGGATTTTACTGTGAATTACTTTTCGAGGAAGAATTCATTGAAATTAGTGCGAAAGGTAGAAATGATGTTATCATGAAGCGTGTGACTTACAATAAGAGGGAGATAAAATATGCAATGATACTTTTTATTTAAAGGGGTAAATAAATGAGACTAAAATTAAAATATAAAGTATATATATTTCTCTTTGATTAACAATTAACAACACGTATGAATTAGTTATTTATTCTATATATTTGTATTTATATATAATTCTTTAAACGGGTGTAAAAATTATTTAATTCTTAAATAGTTTTCGAAATATTTTCGTTAATAAGGAGGTTTTCTCAAGCCTTTTTGTAAAATGAACGATTAAAACACTTATGAAAGTAAGTATAATGATACTCAATAGCAATTATTAGCGAGTGCAGCTAATCTACAAAAGTGAGAGTGTGATGTAAGTTATTACTTCTTTTAGAAAGTATATACTTATATAATTCAACATTAAAAATATTGTATCTTTGATTTACGCACAGGTATTGCAAGGCTTAGTTATTTATTAACCATAAACATGAAACGTATTATTTTATTTTGAATTATACCATATATTCTTATTGTTCCAAAGAAGTCTGTAGCAACTTGTAACATCACATATTTTTAAATCGAAATGGAACAAAATTTTACTTACAAAGCAGAACAGTTAATACTTTTATTTTAATATATAATATCACAGATTTCCCATAATTTTCATCGTTTTATACACGCCAAGAAATGGTATAATATTTTCTACCATTGCTATATCTATAGCACCAGACAATTCAAAATGGAGTATCTTTTACAAATACTAATAAACATACTAACAAACCTCTATTAATTATTAAATTGCATTTCTATTCGCCCAAAAACAGAAACTGTTTGAAACACTATAGAGTACCCAGCCAGAAACACATCATTTTGGGTATTCCTGAAGAAGACAACTAATGGATCGACCAGAAACAAATTTGCAAAAGTAGCTATGTGCGTCATGCACCAAAGAAAATCTCCAACAACCCTAAGTCATGAAATAAAGAGAGAAAGAAGTAGATGCTTGGACTCACCCGGATAACCTTCTGGTATGACGATTTCCGGTCCCACCTTGACATCGTGCCGATAACGATGTATCAACAGCGTCGCAGTGACCCGAAGTGATCTCTGTTGCTGCTTGTACAGCAACACCGGCCTGCCGCCGGCTCCTTCAAGCCTGACGACCCTCGGCAACGAAAACCTATCCAGGAATTCGCGTAGTGGCATGTATCCGCCGCTGGAACCGGAACTGCCCTCGGCCGTCGCCTCCCTGGAGCTCGGCAGGGACTTTGGCAGTGAGGGCACCTCTTCGCTGGACATCGTCGAGAATTCACCGTTTGACGACATTGTCCTCCGCGCAACCTGTCACACGTTCAACTCGTCGACCGTGAAGAAAATTCTTCGACACTGTTCACCGCGAAGTTGCATCGCCAAAGACGCTGGTCCAGCGATCAACGAAGAGAAACTCACAAAACGATTGTTCTTTAAAAAACTTCCCGCAGCAACAAGTAGTTTAATTCCATGGGCACGAGGACGTGTCTCGCGTCTACTTCCGACATCTTTTCCCCCGACACAGAAACCCGTCGTCGATCAACCGGCACTTTCCTCTATTATGTCACTCGGCCGTCACTTTCCACTTGCCGTTCGGCGGGTCGCAGTAATTCGCTGACAAGATTTCGGAGTCGGCCTCGATCGAGCGTGAAGAGGATCCAGATACTGCGGTCCAGCGACGGAGGATTCATTCACTGTACACTAACTGTTACCGCAGGCAACAGCGGGCAGTGCTGATAGGACGGTCGCGTCTCGATTCTGGGCCGAGAGGGTCTGCTCAGTCCATCGCGTTGCGGATCCTTCCGGTTGCCGACAGCTCGATGTCGATCCTTTTCTCGATTGTCGCGGCGCGTTCGCCTTGATGGCGCGGCTCGCACCGCCGAATCATCTCGTCACGCGCGATCCCGCCGGACCGATCGAATTGCATCATCCTTTTTCTCCCCGTCTCTCACTCTCTTTCTTTCTCTGTCCCCCTCTCTTTTTTCTTCCTCTCTGTCTTTCGAACAGCTGACAATCGGCTCTGTATCGCAGGCGGTTTTCACGGTTTCGTGGAAATCGAAAGGATCGCCTTGCCTCGCCTCGCCTCGCTTCGCCGCGTAACCAGATTTTACTGGGGTTTTCACGGATGATCGGTTTTACGGGGGGAGAAGAAACGTCAATGAACCGATTCAACGGCGCGGTGCACCGATCGCCGCCGGTTTCCTTCCCTTTCGCATAAAGGACGTTATATTCCCCGCGGGTCCGGGCCCCGTGGCGTGTATGATTTAATGCGGCTTCTCACGTGGCCACGGGGAATATCCCCGCTTTTATCGCTTCGGATGTAAGCGTTGCCCTCAGACCCCTCGATAAGTAGGCTCGAACTGCATCCTGGTAGCTCGCGGGAGCTGACGTTCGGGGATGAAATATAGGCACTTCAAGGTCCCCCTCGAACACGCGGACGAGACGATCTAAGAGAAACAAAAGAGCGGCGGACGGGGAGAGTTTCGATTAAAAGGCGATGCGTAATCTGCGCTGCGCGGATTTTTGCGCGGACAGGTTTCTTGGGATTGCTAGGGGGAATCGGAGAAATTCTGTTTTCCATTGTGAGATTCTAATGTTGCCGTCATAATGTGAACATTCTATTAACTGTTTGTTTCGAGTACTCTGGTAGTCGTATTACTTGAAACTACTATATCGTTAACGTTTCATTAGAAAACAAGAAACTATCCAACGTGTCTATATCTACATCAAAAACGAAATTTGGATAATAGAGGAATATGCGATTCTAACTTTACAAAAACGAATCTTCGTTAGCTTCTGTTTAAAATCGTCATAACTAAGTCTTAGTACATATTCCAAAGCAAGGCGAAATGCAGCGAGATTACTAACTTTACTCAAGTTTGCGTTTGAGAGTGCATCAAATCAACAATCCAGCAGCGATCAAACGCCGCACGTGTTACCTACCGATCAGTTCGAGAGCAGCGATTCTCGGTGGTACACTAGCCTCTTTCGCTCGAGAGTCTTCGATTCTCGGAGCAGCACGTCGAACGAATCCTGAATATTCGGGGAAGTTTCTTAGGTCGCACAGCGGAGGAAGCGATAGCGCGCGCGAGTAGCGAAGAAGAACCGATCGAACCGGCGGACGCGAAGTCACTGAGCCCGGCGTGACTGAGGCGAGCGTAAGAGGCCCACTCAGTGGGCCCTACTAACACCGACATGCTCGCGACTGGTTGTGTGCATCGGAGCCGCCTCTACCACACCGCAGCCACCGGGTGACCATACTAGCAGCCAAGTGCAGGCGAACTTAGCCTGAAGTTCTCGCTCCGGCAGGCTAACAGAATACGTGGCTATGTTCGGCCGACCCACGAGAAGTGGGCTTATTCAATAGAGGTTCTATTGTGTTCGAGGAGCTGTTCCAGTCGCTCCGACAGCGTCGAACCGCCCTTAATAGTTTCTCTAGAAACGTAATAGGGTGTGGTAAGCGAAGTCCGCTGTATGTACGCGTCTCCGGTTACAAGTATCAACAGTTTGACAGCGGACAAGAGCGCTGATACTGTTTGCTACCAGCGAATTAGCCGACCGACGGCGAATGGAATTTCGCTTGCGCATCTCTCGGGGAACTCGAGGACGCTTGGAATATGGTTGAATCCGAGTTCGAGATTGATGTAGTGATTTTTGAGTTGACGGGTGGAGGAATTTTTGGTGATGATAAAGAACGCTTTATTATCTGTTGATTACTGGTTTGTTAATGGTAATATCATTTACGGTAAGGAATTTTGGGGTCGTTGTTTAGAAAAATATAAAGAAGAATTAATATTTTCATATTTTGTAACGGAACTTTTTGAAGATTTTGTTTTATTTTTAACTCTATATGTATTGAAGATAGTATGTTTAATGGTGGACGTGATTAGAGTATTTTTCATGCAATACAAATTTGTTAGTGAAAAATATGTCTTTATTCTTTCCTGTACGAACATATTTGACGAGTTTCCTTCATCAAATATTATTCATACCCCACTATTTGAAACGTATTAGAACACAATACGGTGATCCGGCACCCTATATTATTAACGACGTAACTGTAACTCCTTAAAAAGCAATCTCCTGAGCAAACATGCGAAGAGGAGCAACTCGATCCTCATAGAAGATTGTCCAAAGTGAACGTTTAGGTTCGCTATAAACACGTACCCGTCGCTTTGCCTTATATAGTTATCTCCGATACTAAAGGGTAATGGTACACGCCCCATTTTACAGCGTGTATGTATATTTAATTGTATGATTTTATACGTCTTTCCGTCTCTTCGATTCGCCTCGGTGTAAGCGTGAGATAATAAAAAAAGAAACTCGCAGGCACCGCGATGGTTCCTGAGAAACCTGGAAAGTGGAACGACCTTGAATTTCATTGTTGAACAAATGGTCGCGAGAGCAACGCGCGAACTAGTTGCGTCACAGTTACGAATGGTGAATTCGCACGATTCGCGATACCTCTTTTTTTTTTCATTCCGCAGGAATCGCACACATTTGTTCAGCGATTGCGTATGTGTCGTAACGCGTAATGACGGTGTACGGTACTGATGTTGCTCGTTGCCGCACCGAGGAAAGAAATAATCTACTGCTATTCTAGGCACGATTGTGCCCTGAGTGATATACAGAAAAAATTGTAGCCCAGAGCATTGACTTTTACTCAATTCTATAAAATTTCAGTTTGGAGACTCTTCTTAATTCGACCATTGAAGAATGTGGGAAATTTTCCAATTTCGTGAACAAAAATAATTGACATTTTTCACTCAAAAGCAGTTCATACAAAATATTCAACATTATTCAATGAGACATAGACGACACTCTTTGAAACTGACTAATGAGAAAACATTGAAATAAAATAGCTTCATTTTTTAATTTATTTATATTTAACATATAGATGAGTCATACAAAGTTTAATATTATATATAAGGCTATAATTTTGCTACATCAAATCAAGTGTTGTCTAAGAGTCACTCTTCGAGTACGAAAGGTTAACCTGTCGATTTGAAGCAAAAGTATTGAATATATAATTTTTCAAATATTGTAACCTAAGGGACACGTAGAGAAAACTACTTGTGGTTCTTTAAAATAAGACATACAAACGGTTCCGTAATACTAGAACTATGAAGTATTTAATACGATTAATATGTAATCCCTATAAAAATTGTAACAATAAACTACAATACTTACAGCTTTTTCAGACATTCACTACAGTATTCAAGTAAAACTATTTATTATCAAAAATCACTTCAAATATTCAATGCTTTTAAAATATCGATAATTGCGAAACAAAAAGACCGAAACCAGTCATTGTAACTGTCCCGATAGTGTCAATCATCATGAGTCTGGCTGTCGTCTAAAGTAGAACAAACAAATACTATCGAAAATAAAAGTACAACAGAGATTTTTCTTTCAAAGAATGATATTCACAACAAAGTTTTTTCTATTCTCAACTGACAAAAACCTTCGAATCTCGACTCGTTCGCATAAAACATTACATTCACGTGTAAAATATTTCTTTCAATCTCAAGAAGAATGTAACTTTATTTCTCACATGTAATATCTAGTGTAGAAAATATTTCCCGATGTTTACTGTATTATGCAAATAATACACGAACGTATCGGCGTTCACCGCAAAATGCGATGGAACCTTCAGATAACCAGATAACTTCAGAATCTTCAAGAATTCCCAGGCCGGCGCTGAAATTAATTGTGCCTATTTCTGATCAACAAATCGTTACACTGATAGCATTCGAAAAATTCGTGCGGCGTATTCCTAGAAAGGTAAACGTTTGATGGCGCGGCGTCGGAACGATCGAAGTGGCGAAGCGGCGCTGTTAATGGGCCAGGCAAAACCAGGACAGCTCATCTTGATAAACATTTATGAGTACAAAGTCGCTGGTACTCTATACCCTTGCAATGCATTATAGTAGCATTTATTTGGTCGTTACACTTCTTTATGGCTTGTTGGACAAGATTCCTCGGGTGTACATAAGAAATCTGGACTATTGAGACCATATCGTGGCCGGCACGTCTTCTCGAAGGGGCTGCGTATTATAATTCAGGGGCTCGAGCGGAAAAGTAATGGCAACCGTGACGAAATTAATGTTATACGTTTTGAATTAATATCGGATTCCGTGGGATGCTGTACATTATTCAAACCGTGAACGTTATAAGCGCAGGAGAAACGTTTGTAGACACAAAGCACGGGGGATTAAATATAGGATTATGGCCGCTTCCAGCGTATCTTAATGCGGAATATTTCATTTCTGTTTATTTGGGCTCAATAAAATTGTTAGCGCGAAATACGCTAATCATAATTAAAGCTGATCTTAATGGTATTGCGTGGTCCCGTGGACTTTACGTCTTTATTAAGTATGGGAAAGTGGAAAAAAATAGCGTAAACGAAACGTTTTAGTGCGGGTTAATAGGAATTTGATTTTATTTTTAACTCGACGCACCGCTCGATCGGATAATCGAATTCTTCTTTCGTTCTGCGCTTTGATTGCCTATAAAATCATTATTTACGTCGAAATACGTTCTTTCGACGTGTACGTTACCGTAACCTTTGTCAATGTTTTAATAGAATTTTTTGTCAGCGGAAATAATTGTATATCGGTAATTCGAACGTGACGTTAGTTAATGCAAATTATTTCCAGTCGGCTTCGAATTGTATAGAAAGTAGGTAGACCTGTATTCTGTTGGAACAATGTTCAAAAAAACAAGTTTTTAATGCTTATATTAAATACTCCAAAATCATTTCTGTCGTCTTATGAGGTCACAAGTAACAATAACAAATGGATCAAATTAATTTGAACTTTATATTGTAGTCATTTTTAATTTTACCAATTAGAATTTTGATTTATGAAATTCGAAAATGAAACGAAGGGCACATGATTATTCAGAAGTAATAAAATTAAGTACGAGAAGAATGCATGCCTAATTTATTAGAATAGTGACCTGTTCTTTGCATCCCATGCGATGAAAATCCTTGTAAAAAAATTTATGACCCATTGGTTTCTCGTGCTGAATTCCGTTACATACCTACATACGAAAGTTGATTATCAGTAATCAACCCATTATCTCACAAAATATTTTTTTTCCTGCGGCACAGGTCCAATCTCATTGTATCCTAACTATAAAAACAATTGGAATAGATCTAAAGAAGGTTGTTTCATTTCATTCAATTTTGATCTGCACATTATATTAAACATACGTATTTTACAGTAACTTACAAAGATCAGATCAGTTCCTGGGATGAAAACTACATTTGTTATATTCATATACATAAATACAATTTTAATGCCAATAACTCTTGCGCTATGAGAAAACTCATTCTATTCAAGTTTCCGGAGGATATTTGTTTACCGTTTACTTGTCGAATGAATTACACAAATAATTAGTAGTTTTTTACAGAGGAAAAAATCATTCAAGATAAAAAGTATAAGAAATTGTATGTAGTGTGTAGTCGTTTTTCAAAGTTAGACAGCTTGTCTTCCCCACACCAAAGAAATATGCTCATCGCAAAGGGTTAATCTCTCGCACTGAATCATTTTCAGAATCAATTCATATGCAAAGATTTGACAAAGTCTTGCGCGAAAAAGTTTTATTTCTTCCTATTGAAAATATGTATACTAATTTTATTTATTAATAATTTTGTATAGAGTGGTACATTTCAAAACAGTCCGCAGTCGCTGATCAAAGAATTAGGGCCCAGCATAGTATTTACGCCATATTTTTAGCAGTCTCCTACTACTTCTACTCAAGAAGCTGCCCGATACTGTGTATATAAGCAGTGTTATGTAGTATTCAATACAAACAGAAAAAATAGGTATGAAGAGGGTAAATTTTCATGAGGGGAGTGTCACTAGATGGGAGATTTAAACACCCTTGAATTAAGTCAGAGGTGCCTAACTTACTCCCTTCACGCTAGTAACTCGAAAACGGCGTTGCCCTACTACCTCTACTCGAGGAGCTGTCCGAGGCTGTGTACATGTAATGTTCAATACAAATAGGTACTATAGGCAAGAAAGGTCTCTCGCTAGAGATTTTGTTTATGGTTGTGATTGATTACGTCTTACCATATTGTCTAATAACAAATTAGTATCGAAAATGAGATGAGAAAAGATGGAAGCTGATCAATGAGACACGTATTCCTCAGCCTCGCTATCAAGTGATGTCGCAACTGTACAAACAGGTGTGTAGGGGCCAACTTTACGT